AAAATATTGAATTGGCTTAGCAGAAATACCACGCAAAATTAAACGAAAATTTCTATGCAGCTGTAGCCCAAATTTCGAACACGGTGATTTGTACGTGCACTGTGTATTTTCTTCCCACCATTTTTAAATTGTTTTCTGTCCGCCAAAATAAGTGAATCTAACGAAGAAATTCCATACATTCTGAAGTTTTATTACAAGATAGAAAAATATGCGACTCAAGCCGTGAAAAAAAATTGTGACGTTTATGTACCAAATTCATTTTCATTAGGAGTTGCACAAAGTCTGTTCAAGCGTTTTCAGACCGGGAATTTTGATGTCAAAGATGCAGGTCACTCTAGTCACCCTCATAAGGATAAAGTCGATGCTATTTTTGAAAGAGCGTAGTAAGATCGGCATATAAGTAAATAATAAAAGAACGTGCGAAGAAGATCATGGTATAGCTCCACAGACTGTATCGAAACTTGAATTAACACGCAATAATGGGATGCTGTGTGTATGGTGGAATTAGAAGGGCATCATTTATTATGAGCTTTTATGGCCGGGAAAACCCTACGATTCGGATTTGTACTGCCATCAAGTAATTTTCAAGCAAGAAATTGAGAAAAAATGGCCAGAATTTATCAACAAAAAAGGAGTGTTATTTGATCATGATAACACAATACCACTTACATCTTTGGCCACTCAGCAAAAATTGAGAGAGCTTGGTTGGGAAGTGTTAATGCATGCAATGTAACCATATAGTCGTGACCTTGCACCCTCAGATTTTCATCTGTTTCGGTCTTTTCAGAATTCTTTGGGGAGTATTAGGTTAACATCAAGAGAGGACTGTCAAAACTACTTGTCGCATTTTATGATCAAAAATTCCAATATTTTTATAGGAACGGGATTATGTACTACCTACAAGATGTTAAAAAGTTATCAAACAAAATAGCTTATATATTTTATAACTGAATAAAATAAAAAAATAAAAAATATGTATTGAATTTGTATATATAATACGAAGAAACATTTTCTCACTCAGTTGCGTGCCTTATCCCTGTCACTACTAATCCTATCACTACTAATCTCAACAACACTCAATCAATGTCGATATGACGACATGTATTTCGCCTATAAACGAGGCATCCTGAGGTAAATAGACTCTGCGGTGGCTGACCGCTAAGATCTTAGATTGACGGGGTTAGTGCACGTAATTGAGGGAGGGCGGGATATGCTAACTAGGTGTAAACTAGATAAGACAGATAATTTTATTTTATTACGCGGATCGTAGTTTTTTAATTTAAAACATTTTTAATATAACGAATTTTTGAAAACTAACGTCTGATTTTATTTATCCGTAGAAGTAGTTTTAGTGAACTCAAATACATCGGGCACAAATTTAGAAGAACGAAAAAAAAAGATTTAATATCTCCTGTTGAAATTATCGTGTGTACTGGCCACAAACATTAGTAAAAAAAAGTCTATTAAAAAAGTAGGTTTACAAATATTTTTTTCGAATTTCATTTGCTTTTATGTTAAATTTTTTTATTTTTTTATTTTACAACAACAAAAATACATATTATACACAGTTCATAAGTACAGTGCAACATAAACCTATATAAGATTTTTCTGCACACTGCAGTTCGCCGTCTTTTGAGCGTAAACATTTTAATATTATTTAGAGTAAGAAGGTAGTTCGCTCGCTTCTATAACAATAACGTGAGGATGAGTTGTAGTATACAGGTTGTTCAGAGGAAAAAATATTTTTATATTTTTGAAATATAAATATAGTAATTATATTACAATTAGTATACATATATAATAGTATATAGTATACAAATAATATATAGTATTAGTTTTAGTTATATTATGTTAGTTATTATATTAGTTGATTCATAAAGTACGTTTTTAATTTGTTTTTAATATTTTTAGGATTGATATCTTCCTTTAAGGTTTTAGGTAGTTTATTAATTAATTTAGGAATAATGATCTTATTTTGATGATCTCCATATATATTTTGTGTTTTAGCTATAATTAATTTAGGGTTATATATACTTCTTAGCTGGTGTTTATACATTGGTAGGACTTGCAATTTTGTATTAAAGAACTGTTCAACAAGTAAGGTAAGTTTTAGTTTTTCTTCAATAGGCAGAATACCGCAAAATTTAAATAATTTGTTGTAGTTATCCTTATATTGTTGTTTGATTTTAGGTGGGACAATTGTTTTGATGATTCTAAGCTGTAATTCATGGATATTATAAAGATGCGATTTACAGGTTCTACCATAGCTACTTAAACCGTAATGTATTATCGATTCGGCCAGAGCCTTGTAAAGGGATAACAGTATAGGATAGGGAACTTTATATTTAATTATAGAAAATTTGGCAAGTATGGCCCTTAACTTATCACACACTTTATTAATATGGTGCGTCCATTTAAATCGACTGTCTATTATGAGTCCAAGGTAAGGTTGTTGTTCTACTATATCGATATGATTACAATTACAAGTATGGTTAGACATGTTATTATGAAGACATTGGTGGCTGTGGGCAATGAGTTTTAATGGAACGGATACTCTTTTTCGACTGGACGAAATGTACATCAATTTTGTTTTGGTGGCGTTCAGAATTAGTCCTGCATCGTGAGACCATTTCATAAGGTTGGTGAAATCCTCTTGCAATTTCTTTAATGCCACATTTATGTCGTTCTCCGCCGCTAATAAGCAGGTATCATCTGCAAACTGATAGATCTTGCAGTTTTTAATGACATTGACAACATTATTTACATAAGTCAAGTAATGCAAAGGCCCAAGCACAGAGCCCTGGGCGGTACCTTGGGTGACGGTTTGCTTTATACTTGTAGCATTTCCCACTTTAACTCTATATGCTCTCTCTTTAACATAATCTTTGCACCAATTCAGAAGGGGTCCTCGAAGTCCACATTCATCAAGTCTTTCAATCAGTAAATCATGCCTTAGAGTATCGAACGCTTTACTATAGTCAATAAAAACAACTAGAACATGTTTTTTATTATCAAGATAATAGTTTACGTCGTCAGTGAAAGTAGATAACAGTTGAGTGGTACTTTTATGCTGCTGAAAACCATACTGGCTTTTGTTTAAAATTGAGTGTTGACTATAGAAATTATTTACTTGTTTACTTATATATTTTTCAATTATTTTATCTAATGTAGGCAGTATTGTTATTGGACGGTAATTGTCGTAGTCCGTTTTTTTACCTTTTTTATGTATTGGTCTTACAATTCCGGTTTTTAATTCAGTAGGGTACTTACCTTTTTCAATACACGCATTTATTAGGTTGGCTATGGTAACCGATATTTTGTCCGTAATAGATTTTAAGTCTATTGCTCGTATTTTGTCTATACCTGGTGCTTTGTTCGTGTGAATGTTTTTTATTATTTTAGCTACTGAGTTTGGAGTGGCCTTTTGATATCGGAGTGTTACGTTTACAGGCGATCTGTACAAGTTCATCGGCAAAAGGGGCCGATTACAAGAAGGTACGATGCTTGAAACACTTTTTTGAAACACCTCAGCGAAATTATTAGCGATATCAAGTGGCTTAACTTTCTCATTTTCAAATGAATTTAATATTATATTATCGACGGAAGAATTTTTCCGTCCCGTGATCTTATTAAGTATTTGCCAAAGTCTCATCTGGTTATTTTTATTATTATATATATCCCTTTTTATGTACCAATTTTTTGTTTTTTGTATTAGTTTGTAAGTTGAGTTTCGTATTTTATTATATTTTTGTTTAATAATCTTATCATCAGTATTTTTTAACCACAAAGAAAACCAATAGTCCCTATTTTCACATGCCTTTTTAGTCCTATTATTAACCCATTTATTTTCTGCCTTCGTTAATGTTCTACTTTTTATTTGAATTATTCTTAGGGCTTCATTGTAAAATCTATTAAAGTTATCTTTTATAAATTTGTATATTTCAATGGGGCAACTAATACTTTTAGTTGATTCCCAATCTATTTATTTAATAAATCAGAAACTTTTTTCTGATCAATGAATGTTTTAGATTTAGGAGCCGCCTCTATATAGTGCTGAGATCCAACACAAGCGAATGTTATCGCACAGTGGTCTGCCAGTGCGGTTCGAAGTGTCGCAGTGTATACGTCTTGTGAGTGGGACCGTGCAAATATATGGTCAATACAGGATTTACTAATTAGGTTATATCTTAATTCAATTCTAGTATATTCCGAGATTCCACTCACAAGTCCGTAAGTCGATAACATTGTTGTGTATTTATGTTTTATAGGAGTTTCCACAGCGAGGTCAATGTTTAAATCACCTATTATAAAGAAGTCTTCGCGTTTATTAATTATGTTGCATGATTGCTGCAATTCGTGTATAAATAGGTGTTTGCTTAAGCTAGGCGGCCGGTAAATAGCGAGTAGATTGCAAGTGTATTTCGTGGGTGTGATTATTTTTGTTAGTATTCCCTCAAATTGGATAGTTTTTATTATAGTAGTCGACACTTTATGTTTTTTATGTATGTAAATAATAACTCCACCTCCTCTTCTGTCCTTCCTTAGATTTACATGCATATTGTAGTTCTCTAGTTGGAAAAGATCGATTAAAGGTTCTGAGATATTAACTTCTGATAGAATAACTAAATCAATACTAGTAGGACAAGTGACTATAATGTGTTCTAAACTAGAAAATTTTGAAATTAGTGACCTTATGTTAAAATGAATACACGTTAGGTTAGTTTTATGGGGAATTTTGTGAATAAAGTCAGTTAGGTCAGTACAGTTTATTAATTCAGTTACGTTATCAGGTAAATCCATTGTAATAATTGTAAGTATGTAGAAATGTATGTAAGCTTAAATAAAGAAAAATAAGACAAAAGAGATGATGTGTTGATATGTAAATATACTATTAGCGAATTACCTACTTAGGCTCTAAGTAGTTTGGCAATATCTTCTTCGCGACGGATTATAATGATGTCACTTTGTTCTTCTTTTCTTGCTCGGATGATACCTCGTTTTTACCATACATACTTGTAGGTAGGTTTTAGCTTTTGTTTCGCTTCCCATAGTAATTTCTTGTTATAATAAGATAAAACTTCACGCATGTAAATAATCTGCTTTCCTGTCGCCTCCGCCTGATTATCCATGAAATCATGAGCATATAGTTTTGAATTCTTCGCTGCAGTGATCCATTTTGTTGTTTCTGTTTCATTTTTGAATGTAATTTCAATATTTCCGGGCTTTTCTTTTTTCCCTGGCACACGTTTTATAGATTCAATATCATCAACAGAGACTGATAATTTATCTGCAATTTTTTTGACAATGTTGCTAAGCATTTCTGTGTTATTATTAGGGATATTTAATATTTCAATTTGTTTGTTTAGCTGCGATTGTTCAGTATCCTTTATTCGTTGCTCTAGTGCACCAACACGCGTTTCTAAATAATTATTTTTGTTAGCGAGTTCTATATTTTTCTTCTGTAATTCTTTCATTGTTAATTTTAAGGCATCTATAGACACAGTCAGCTCGTCCAATTTATCGCTTTGATGTTGTAGAGATTTAATTATGTCTCGCAGTTCTCTTTGAAGAGCTTTTTCCATCTCTTTTGATATATCTTTCAACAACCGCTTGATATCAATTTGTACGTTTTTGGAATAATTTTCTGTTTCTTGAACATTATCTTCCTCATCCTCTTCTTCTCCGTCACCGGGAACGTAGATAGAACTACGTCTCGGAGAATGTTCAAGACAATCTTGGCATGTCCATCCTAGATTCTCAGCGGCCTTTAGTGCATTCCTCTGTTTGTTAGTAAGACCAGAGCAGTTTCCATTTAAGTGCACTATTTTTTCACATTGATTACACTCTAATCCAGGATTACTTTTAGTTATATTTTTTCCACATTTATCACATTTGGTCATGTTGAGGGTAGATTAATACGAGGTTTATGGAACTAACTTAACGTGCTTTTCGGTCGAAAGAACGACGACGAATTTCTACGATATTTATATGATATTATTATAATAAATAGTTATATATTTGCTTTTGGTTTAAATTTAGGTCTTGTTTCAATTAGTCAATCGTTTTAATATCGTATTAAGTGAGAATGCCAGATCCAACCGCCACTTTTTATCCTATAAAAAAAAAAACTTAACTTCTAACTCTAGCTCTATAACTTTAATTGAAACTGGGCACACCTTCATGTGGCCCAAGCCATATGTAGATTATGTAGATGTGCCCAGATATATATCTGGGCACATACACATCTATATGTATATATAGAAGGTTACAGGTTAAGTTGACCTAGATCCGTTAAGGGGTTGTAGTGTGCATTGTTTCTGACTGATTTGACTATCAAACACCATACCCCATACCGACCCGTTTTTTAATACAGGACTTTAAAGTTTTTTCACAAAAATAGACGCACTTTTTGTCCATTATCCACTGTCCATTCACTTTCGAATTAGTGCCTATAATTTATATGATTTTTCAATTTTTGTGTAGTATATAAGTTGTTTTATTATTCTCAACACCAACATAGCAAGTAACAAAACACACAAAGCAAGCTACTGCACGGCGCGAGCTTCCCCCTCAAGGTTTTTGTATAAAATGTTATACCTATCTAGAAACAGTTATTCTCCGAAAATTTAAATTTAAAAATAATAGAAATTATAATAAATATTTTTTTTTATAATGTGCTGACAGTTTATGAATATTCCATTTCCCTTCTTTAATATTATATTTTATATTTTAATTTAATATTTATGACCTCCACAAACATTTGTAACGATAGTGATTTGTTTCTATCGTTGTCTTCGGACGATGAGACACTTAGTGATGATAGTTATCACAGTACAACTGCTTCTCCTTCACTCAACATCACCTTAAATTCTTTTTTCTCAGACTGTGTGAATAACTTTAATGCTATTCATATTAACGCCCAAAGCATTCCGGCTCATTATCCTGACATGCTTGCGTCATTTGAATCCCAAAATATTCACGCCATTTTAGTTTCAGAATCTTGGCTAAAACCCTGTCTGCCTTCCACTTCTTATTCTTTGCCTGGGTTTCATCTAATTAGAAATGACCGCACTAATAGGGGTGGTGGGGGCGTGGCGATCTATCTAAGATCCTACCTTCCATTTAAAATTGTTAGTTCGTCAAGTCAACCACCTCCTGTTGATTCTGCTGAGCATTTGGTGGTTGAGGTCTCCCTGTCTCAGAATAAAATCCTACTTGGAGTTTTCTACAGTCCCTCCCTTTCTATAAATTATTTTACTTCTTTCGAATCTCTTTTAGAATCACTAGTCCCTACGTATAGTCACACTATTTTGATGGGTGACTTTAACACCTGTTTGCTTAAAGGCGACAATCGATCTATAAAACTTGAAGCTATAATTGAAGCGTGTAATATGCAAATTCTACCCCTTTCTGCTACTCATAACTTTCCTAACAGTACTCCTTCCCTTCTTGACTTAATAATGGTGTCATCTTCCAATTTAGTTTTCAAGCACGGACAGTGTCCTGCTGATGCATTCTCTTATCACGATTGAATTTTTCTTTTGTTTAAACTACGCCCTCCCAAATTAGTTCTGCGACGTAATTTTGGAGGAATGGATATTGAACAACTTTGTGAAGATGCTTATAATATTGACTGGTCAGTGATCGAGAGACCTCCATGCTTTGACGATAAAGTGGAACTGTTCTGTTCTCTTCTCACTCAGCTTTATGACGTTCACGCGCCAATGCATTATGTGAGACTTAAACACCTACCTGCTCCATGGCTCTCTGATGACCTGAAGAAGCTTATTTTGCAGAAGAATGTGGCATTGTCAAAGCTTAAGAGGAATAAGACAGAGGAAAACGTAAGGAAATACGCCAAAATCAGGAATCGATGCAACACATTGTGTAGAGATGCGCAACGACGCCATATTCATACATCAGTCGAGAACGGCGACTCATCTAGGGTGTGGAAGTTTCTCAAAACAGTTGGAGTTGGTAGAACATCCCTAAATGCTTCACCTCCTAGTGTTGATTTTGAACTATTAAATCAACATTTTTCTAATCCTTCTAACTCTTTTGATAGCGAACATAAACTGCAAACACTTCGTTCGCTTTCTGTAACTCCGACTCCTAATTATCCTCCGTTCGTTTTTAGTCAGTTTACTGAATGTGATGTTAAGAAGACCATATTATCCATCTCCTCAAATGCTGCCGGTAGCGACAACATTAGCCGTAATATGATTGTTCCTCTCCTTGATGTTATTACTCCCATTATCACTTATTTACTCAATGCTTGTGTCTCTTTCTCTAAATTCCCTCAAGCCTGGAAGAGTGCTCATTTTATACCCCTTCCAAAGAAATCTAATCCCATTAACCTCTCTGATTTCCGGCCCATCTCGATCTTACCTTTCCTTTCTAAAGTCCTTGAAAAACTTATTTGCCAACAGCTGACCCTTTTCCTTAATAAGCACAATTTATTGAATTCCTTACAATCCGGTTTCCGTCCAGGTCATAGTACGGCTACTGCCTTAATCAAAGTTACTGATGACATACGGTGGGGTATGGATAATAAACAACTCACAGTCATGACCTTGCTGGATTTCAGTAATGCGTTCAATACTGCTGACTTCGATATACTGTTGAGTCTGTTATGTTCCCTTAACATATCTCCATCAGTAATTGACTGGTTTCAAAGTTATCTCTGTGGCCGTCGGCAGTGTATTCGTGTCGATGAAACTCACTCATCTTGGTGTGATATAACTGCAGGCGTGCCGCAGGGCGGCGTGTTGTCACCTTTACTCTTTTCCATTTTCATTAATTCAATAACTCATAAAATATCTTCTCTCTACCACATGTATGCGGATGATATCCAGATTTACACCCAGTCAACTCTTGAGAATTTGCCGAATGCAATCGCTACATTAAATAGGGATCTAAATTTTATACACGAGTGGAGTAAATCATATGGCCTAAATGTCAATCCTAAAAAGTCTCAGGCTATCATTATTGGTAGCCAGAGCTTTATCTCAAGAATTGACTGGTTCTCTGTACCACCTATCGTATTCGATGGAGTTGTTATCCCTTACTTTGACAATGTCAAAAATCTTGGTATTTATATTGATAATACCTTAAATTGGATACGCCAACTGAATGAGGTAAGTAAGAAAACTTTTGTCGCTCTTTGTTCACTGCGTCGCCTTCGATCTTTTCTTCCCATTCCTACAAAAATTATGCTCGCACAGTCTCTTCTCCTTCCGATTCTCGACTATGCTGACGCAAGCTATGTAGACATTTTTTTTTTTTTTTTTATAGGAGAGGGGGCAAACGAGCATGCGGCTCACCTGATGGTAAGTGACTACCGCCGCCCATGAACAACCGCAACACCAGGGGAATTGCAGATGCGTTGCCGGCCTTTTAAAAAGGAGTAGGCTCTTTTCTTGAAGGTCCCTAAGTCATATCGGTCCGGAAAAATCGCTGATGGTAATCGATTCCACAAGGAAGTCGTGCGAGGAAGAAAACATCTTCTAAATCGCACAGTGGTGGACCGCCAATCATCCAGATGGTGTGGATGGTATCGGGAGTTCTGCCGCGATGTGCGTTCATGAAATTTGGCGGCTGGGATTAATCCGAACAATTCCTCAGAGCACTCCCCATGGTAGATGCGAAAGAAAATGCAAAGAGATGCAACATCTCTTCGCAGTGCCAATGAATCGAGCCGATCGGAAAGGGCTCGGTCGTCGACGATTCGAGCCGCTCTGCGCTGGATGCGGTCAAGTGGAAGGAGCTGGCACTGGGGAGCCCCTGCCCAGAGATGGGAACAGTATTCCATGTGAGGCCGAACCTGCGCCTTGTAAAGTTGCAGGCGGTGTGCCGGCATGAAATACTGTCCCGCTCTGCTGAGCACGCCAAGCTTTTTAGAGGCCAATTTGGCCTTCTCTTCCAAGTGACCACGAAACTGCACGTCACTCGATATGTCGACTCCGAGGATACCGATACTGGCTGAGGCAAGAAGGGGAGTGCCTTGAAACTGAGGAGATACGACAAAGGGGTTCTTTTTAGCGGTAAACGCGCAAACTTGTGTCTTCTGAGGATTAAACTGGACTAGATTTAGTCGATCCCAATCCGAGACTTTGTCCAGCAAAGACTCGACTTCAGACACAAGTTTGTTCCGGTACTCGGCGACGTTTTCCCGAGAAATATTGGCCCGGCCGGTGTATAGAGCATCACCAGTGCTGTCATCCGCATAGCAATGAATGTTACCAGTTAGCAACATATCATTGATATGCAGAAGAAACAGCGTTGGTGATAGCACACAGCCTTGTGGAACACCAGCGTTAATAGGCTAAATAAGCTTGAGAGACTTCAAAATACTAGTATTCGGTTCATATTTGGATTGCGCAAATTTGACCATATTTCCCAATTTCGCTCACGTCTCAAGTGGTTACCTATCCGACTTCGCCGGAACATGCATATACTTTCTATTCTGTACTGTGTATTATTTCACCCTTCTACTCCTCCCTATCTAAAGGAGAAGTTTAATTTTGTGGGGCTTCCGGGGGAACCCTTACGCTCTTCGAGAAAATTCATTTTAAGTGTGCCTACTCACAATACATCATTTTTCAATAAATCTTTTACTGTCCAGTCTATTAAGCTCTGGAATGCCCTACCTTTGCATATACGTGAGGCACAAACTATTGTTATCTTTAAGCGATTACTTAAAGAGCATTACTTGTCTCAATCGTTCGGAAACCGTTAGGATAGATTGTGTGATTATGTATTTATTGTATCTATCAGCTTTATATTATTGTTTGAGGAATTTTGTATATATATATATATATATATATATATATATATATTGATATAGATGTGTTGTGTGTATATTTATGTATATATGTTTATATATATGTGTATATGTATG